CTGCAGCCGGGGCCGCCGCGCCGGGGCGCCCGCACCCTGCGCCTGCAGTGGGCACCTGCTCAGCGCTGCTGCGAGACGTGTGTCCTTCAGCCTAAGCCTCGCATTGCTCCTACCTCGCTCGAGAAATATCGAGCTCAGTGGTATCTCACAGGGCCCTGCTCTTCCCAGCCCGCAGCATGAGCCCTGTTTCATGGGGACAGAACATGACACAAAAAGAAGTTACCGAAGTGGGGACTCGAGGTTTCACTCCAAGGTGGGAGGCAGCCCTACCGCAGCCTTGCAAGGGACATGGGGAGATTCATCCTCCCACACAGCCACCACCTGCTCAAGCAAATACTGACTTCAGGGGGAGCCGGAGTCCACATTTGCTCTTCCTTGAGGCAGAAGTGAATTAATTCCTTTAATGTGTTTTAAAAGCAGAGGAGCCTCCTACCACCATACCAACCTCAGGCATGTGCTGCACAGCACAGAATGGGGCAGAATTACCAAAGGAAGAACTCAAGAGCAGTGGCATTGCTCCTAGCCACCTCCTTAGTATGCTCCCTGCATACATACCTAGTTAGTTATACAGCCCTCCTTGGCTAAGTGTCCCTATTCAGCTCTCTGGAAAAAATCTTCTGATAGTATTTTTCCTGGATAATGGATTAAAACACACACAGCTTATGTCTGAAATGTGTACGACAACATCCTCCTGAGAGGGTAGAGAACATATCAAGGGAAACAAAGTCCTAAAAACATAACCTTGCAGGCTGCACAGCCAGTAAAGCTTTGTATCCTGGAGTAATAGGGCACAACTAAGTGTGAAAGTGTTTCCCTTCCTCCCCAGCAAAACACACACCCTGCAATTAAGGAAATCCTAATAACCTTATTCTTTTCTCTCCCTTTTGCTGGATACTGATTCTAGTCTTCAAGGTTAGTTAGGAACTACCAGTGAATAGTTACTGCAAAAACAAGAGAGAACCTGTCAACATGCATCTGAAAAGCTTAAGAAATTAATCATGAGGAGGTAGTCTTGGAGACTTGATTTTGGTGTGAACAGAGAAAGCAAGCATTAAATCACTGCTGAGGTTTAATCTCTCCTATCTAGATCTGATTTTTTGCCCAGAGTTCAAGATTTTGCAAGTCAGGTGCACCAAAGCAGTAAGAGATGGTGGAAGACCTTCTGGTACACGCCTTGGAAGTATTTATAGATGGCTTCTCGATTTACTGCATATTCACTTCTATCCATGATCTGGCACATCTTGTTCAAGAAAAAAAGGACCTTTTACTATATAAACTCCAGTAAGTTGGGGAAATTAAGGTAGTGGGAAGAGAAGATAAAAAAAAAAAAAAAAAAAAAAAAAAAAAGAAGCCCAGTATGTCAGGCTGAGCCTCAGCTCTAGGCTGGGTGAAAGTGCTTTCCTGCCATCTCCTGGACTTTTTTGGTAATGACATGGGGAAAAAAGTCAATTTGCAACTGAAATTCTAAATTTATGTAGCTATATATTAAAGTTTTAATGAGAAAACAGCATGCAGCTATGCCACAGGAAATTCAAGAGACTACATATATTTTTGTGGCTCTTAAAAGTGCAACTGTCATGTTGCTGATTCCACTCGGTTGGAGCAGTAAGAAAAAGCTTAATTACAGAAATACTGCATGTACTTCCAAACCAAGCTAACCACCGAGAAAACGTAAAGCGGAAATACACGATCCTCAAGACAGTGAGCTCTGAAAGCCAAAGTTACAGTCCACAAGAACAGGCAAGGCTGAAACACTGTCAGACCAACCTGTCACCACCAGGTGGGACCACTGGCAGCAGTCCCCACTGCAGATATTAAAACGAGCACCACCTGTAATCTGCCTGCGCAAGTTATTTCCTTTGCAAACTGAGGTATTTGGAGAATAAATAAGCATCTTTCATATTTAGTGCCAAGTGCATGGGACAGGCCACCTCCTGCTCTTCCCTTCTTCCTGAAAAGGGGACATTATAGCGACAACCAAGCAACATTCCCACTACCGCTGTATTGTAAAATGCAAGAATTCCACAGTAAATTAAGAAAATTCAACTTGATTTAATCTTTAATTTAACCCTTGTCATATATTTTTCCCAAATTCCAGCTTTTTTTTTTTTTAAACTGGATGTTTAACTGAGACTGCTACTGCAAAGTTTCACTACTGAACAGATCTGTTAATCTGCATTTGCAGAAAATCACGAGTTGGAGCATATGAAGAGATTGTTCTTTCAAAATGTGGAATTCAGTACAAAACAGCTGCAGAACACTTGAGCTTAATTTTCAACCTTAAAATGACAAAAAAATTCAGGATAAAGACAGCAGCTGGAAGAAACCCTGCCACAGTTACACACTGCAGATTACCCGAGTGTGAGGAAGGCTTGCTATGACTGCTACTTATATCAGAAGCAACAAACACTTCATTAAAAACCATAAAATAGCACATTAACTTCCAAGACGTACTGTTAGGGCTGCAGAACTGATCTAAACCAACTCCACTTACCTGACTCGGCACAAATAACTAAACTTTTGTAGCAAGGCAAAACTGTCATAAGGTGTTTTAAGCAAACATAGGATAATTCTCTATGAACCTCAGAGAAATTCACATATCCATTATCAATTAAATTTTGTCTTTGTTGCAAACCTCTATCTTAGCTATTTTAGATATACTAATAAACACATGAGCCTACACTCGAGCCATTTCATCCCTGAAACCAAAACTTACTATATGAAATGTTATGTATGAAATGTGTGCAAAAAACCAAGTACACCAGAAATACTTAATTTGCATTGACCTGAAAACACATTACAATTTTTTTTTCAAAAACTTTTATTTAGTATAAAGACAAAAAACACCAAAATAGGTACAAATTATACTATATAAAATTGGTTCAATGGGGTAAAAACTTTTAATTAAAATATCTTGATATATTTAAAATAACAAAGGATACAATGAAGCCAAATTTCTTAACCCAGAGATTTCTGTAAAATTTGCTTGCACAGTAAGGTGCTAATAGAAGTTAGCCCTTAAGCCCTGGAAGTCTTAGGAATCAGTCACATAGCAAATATAATTTCATTGTGAAAGTGAACTTTGGTAGAAGAAACTCTATAGGACACCTGAGGTAGTAGAAACTGGAATAAACAGCAGTAGACGTTATTTACAACTTAAGTACCAAATAACATTAAGAACAAAAAAATAATTACACAATACAATTTTCAGTCTAGCTTTGATCCAAAGAAAATAAAAATATTACTTTACATCTGCATTTTAAAAACACCACAATTACCAGCAAGCTGAGGGAAATGGAAACAAACCCAAACAAAATGCATTTGGACATCTAGAGGCAGTTTGAGTTTGAAATGTGGTAGGCATGGTGATCTACAAAGTAATACTGATTAGCTGAGGTTCATCAGTTTATACAGTTTACATTTCTGCCAGAAACACAGTATTAATCTGACAACTGATCTTCCAGTACATGAATTAGCAAGAGTGCATCCTTTAAAGCTTGCACATAAAGACTCGGAAACAATCTTATTAGAATGAAAAATTCTAAAGTGGACAAAAAAAGTCAAGTACAAAACAGTTAGAGCTACCAAACTTCACATTTCAGTATTATCTTTTTAACTCTTCAAAGTCTGCCAGCCTTCGAAAACAAAGGAATGTAAAATTTCCAAAAAAAAAAAGCACATTCACAACTAATGACACTGCCTTTTTTTTTTTTTTTTTTAAATATGAGCACTATCATTTCTGTAAACTTATCTTTAAGATGTTTTCTTTCCAATTGGTATTGTACATTTTTAATGTACTATAGCTTATTTAGCTTGTCCTGAGTCTTTGAAAATAACCAATTCTATTTCAGTCCAACAATTCAACTGGCTTCTGAAGAGTTAAAACATAAACAGTAATTTTTAAATAGATTAAACACAATCAGTACTTGATTTTAAAAGATCCCCCCTCTTAAAAAGCAAAAGAAAAGCTGCCATTTTCCTTCAGAATTACATGCATCAGAATCTAAAAACCTGCAACTGAATTTTTTTTTTTAGTTTCTGTTTTCTTTTAAAAAAGCATACCTGTTAAACACAAGTTTTGCACTGCAAGTAAAGCTTAACTTCACATTTTACTTTACCGTGCTTGTCAAGTCCAAGCTTATTGCTTGATAAAAAAAAATACCTTTCTTAGGGTAATATTTTAAACATTTTCAAATTAAATGATCAGTAAGGGCTATAGTAAATAGATGATGTACACCAGAAGGAAAACAGCAGGTAAAATTTCTTATCCGTGGAGAACATGACCTCAATTTTGTGGCAGAAAGAATGAGATATATTCATAGGGGGCACCTGGTCCCACTAAAGCACAGGAGAGAGTCTCCCATAAGCTTTACTGGGAGCTCTTTTACTGGTACTTTGAGATAGAATTGTATGGTATTTGCCAGAATAAACTGCTATGTGAAAAGAAGGCTCAACATTTAACATGATTCAGATTGTTATGCATAAAACAATTTACAATCTTATTTTTTCTGTGTACTTTTTTTAAAATAACCTGTACTAGCAGAGCTTGAAGCACTGGACTGAAGGTGCCCTCTTGTTTTATTCCAGATTTCAAATAGACCTTTTTAAAAAAACTCACGTGTCAGTGAGATGCTCAGTGACACCATTTGCACCTTTTTATAAAGGTTATTTTATTTTACAAGATCACCTTTCCCTGAACATTAAAAATACAATGAAAATACAAATCTTAATTTCAAAAGAAATTACATGGCCAGCAGTAAATGCACAATGAACCGTAACAGCCTCCTCTCACTTTAATGAAGGCAAGATGCTTTTATCAATGCTTTCATTTGTTACTCAGAAAACTTTGTATAATCAAAAGGGACAGATACAGAACTTTCTTTTAACCAGTGCTGAAAACTGACTGTAACTGCAGAACTCTCTGCTTACATCTAGATGATGTGAAATGGAACAGTGATTGCTATATTAAAGTAGAACCTGAGCCCCTCAGCTGCTAATATTGCTGAAAAAGTGCTCCAAATAAAATAAAAATCACTTATCTGCTAAATAATCTTGCAGATTTAAAGAAACCTAGAGCCAGATGTTTAAAAAAGGCACAGTTTACATTTTTCTGCTCAAGTTGTGAAATGCTGCATACAGAGCTTAGGTAAAGATCTCGATTTGTCGATCACACACTTAGGTAGGGTCCTCCACTGGCCTCAAGTCCTTGATGTAGCATTAAGGCCAGCAGAATAACACAAGCTGCTGTGCTTCAGCGCACTGCAGGACAGGTGTTCAGTAGCATCTTCTTCAGCACACCAGCTGATGTGATTAGCTACCAGGCTGTACGGAAGACGGGGTGTTTCAGCAGCTCCCTTGAGGGGGGTCTGTCCTGAGGCTGAAGCTCTAAACACCGCAGAGTCACATCTCTTAAACCAGGAGACAGATGTGAAGGGATTGACGGAGCAGTAGTTGCACTAGCAATCTGAACAAACAGAAAACAGGTTTTAAGAAGTCAGTGCTTCTATCAGCTTGAGGCATCAAATTTTGAGTTTCTTTTTTTAGTTTTCAGCTGACCTCAATTATACTGTGAGCTTTTATTCAACATAGGATAGTCCCTGCTGCAGTTTCTCTGCAAGTTACATTGCATTCATTTTACAAAGTTTACTTTTTGGGTCTCAAGTTCCCTTTCTGCCTCTCCTCAGTTAAGATATGCTCTCTTCTGCTTTTCATGGTCTCCGTCTCCCTCCTTCCATTTTCTCCGATTTTTGTTCCTTTAGCAAGATTCTACTGTAAACACCTGCTGACCACAGTAAATACTGTTTTGCCACAGCTAGGGGTATTCATTAGTCTGCTACTTTACACTATGTTAAGTGCAATCACTCATGGAGATGCATTAAACCAAGGGATATTATGTTACGGTATATTAAGGTGGGAATGCTCTATTCCTGCTACTAGCACACAGTAGAATCTTTCTCAGATGGAAGCAGCTCATGCTCTAAAATTGTTTTCTTTTTCCTTCAACATTCTCCCCCCACCCTCTACATCAAGTTGAGAAGGATGATGCTTTATTGGGGACACTAGGCTGACACCACACAATTCACGCAAACACAGAACAGAAACACCTAAATCTCTTATCACAGGTGATTTGTACTGCATTAGAACATTTGGATATTGCTATGCTCTGTTTTGTGGAAGTATTTTCTTCATTCATGCCTGCTGTTCAACTAGATTTTTAAAAATAAATGTACCTATTTGATTTTAGTAAGAAACATGCATGCCAAAAACAGGTGAAAATATAATATTTACGTGTGGCATATCAATAGTAAACAGCTAGTAGCAAAGTCTGGATGGTAGTATCAGGTTTCAAAGGATATTACCAATGGAGAGCACGTATTTGCTGACAGCTTTTTTTTAGGCAAACAAACATGATTATGTGTGTTATCAATACTGACTTTGTACTAACAGCTCCAGAGAAATTTTAACAGTTTCTGCTTCAAAACTTTCTGAAGTTGACATTGCTGTACATGAAATTAAGACTGGTACGAGTGTCCTCTGTAGTATCTCAAAGTATCTCACCTTAAAGATCAGGGCGAGATGATTGGAGTGTTTCTCTGCATTCCAAGGAGGTTTAGCACAAGCCATTTCTATCACAACGCAGCCGACGCTCCACACGTCACAGCTCCTACCGTACTGCTGACCTCTCAGAACCTGCACAGACAAGTCCAAGCTCAGGCTAAGCATTCCCAATGCTCCAACTTGGTTTAAGTATCTAACTGCTGCATACACATACACAATCAAGTGCATTTCAATTACACTTTGGGTTAACAGCAGACTAGTGACATAAATGCAAGTAATATTTATAAACCTCTACAGTAAAGCAAAGAAGCCAAAAGTAAAGGACCAGATCAAGGGACAAAGCATCTTGTAGCTGTTAGCTTTAGACCCAATTGTAAATTGTGCTGTAGTAACAATACTAACAATCTATCTCACAACAAGCTGTCAACATGGGAACAGAACAACATGGGATGCAAGAAGTGTCTTTTATGCTACGTTTGTATCATTCCCATTCTTTCAGGCCAAGCACATTCAAAACATCTGAAACATTTACATCAGGTTTCTCTGTTTGACTGAATGAGTTAGTGTTGAGCTCAAACCTTCTGATGCAACTTCCAAAAGTGGTTTCTTACCTCCGGTGCCATAAATGCAATCGTTCCCAACAACTGCCCCTGAAACTCCCCAGCACCAGTTCCTTTGGATGCCAGCCTGGCTGCAGCTCCAAAATCAGCAATTCGTAATCTATGACCCGTGCTGTCAATTAGCAAATTGGCACCTGTCACCAGCATAATAATAAAAAAATAAAACAAAAAACAGTGGTTGGCTTGATCAAAGGCAAAAGAATAAGCAGACAACCTTCCTCTCTCCACTTCAAAATTATCAAAATGTGATATTCCCCACCCCTCAGTAGGCAAGGAAATCTAGAAATGAGACAAGGTCTAACACTACCCCACTTTTCTGCTGTGCCCGAATGATACTGCACCCAGCCTGGGAACATCTGAGAGATTTAGAGAAGCAATCAAACTTTCCAAGTAGGGCAAACATGGGATTCTGGAATGATGCTTGAAACTATGGGAAAAAAAATGGCAATCCCAAACCCTTCAGGTTTTAACTGCCTGCTGCTCCCTATGAAGTTTAAACTTTTTATCTGATTCATAGGTAGCCTTCTGAGTTCTCTTAAAAGGAAGTTAGTGGCACAGAGAGCTTTCCCATTTTAAGGAAAAATTAAAGACGTAAGTTTGCCATCGTTGTGTTGCTAGTTATATGGATCTTTCTGCTTCATGGACAGTTACACTGACATTGAAGTTGATAAAAGTTTAAGACAGAGACTTCCCAGTAAAGTCCAAATTTAGTTGTTAAACTAAGTCCTAAATATGCAAAAACTCAAGCTAAAACCAAGAGTTCATATAGTATTAACAGGCTGTATCTCACAAGCAAAACTGTATTTATGTTAAGATGAAGGAAGAAAATGCTCCATAGTATTTCTATACATTAAAAACTTGACCTCTTTGGTAGCTTGATGTTTTATTTGAACTAATCAAAAAGTCAGTTTTCCTAAACCCTTGACATAGATAACGATACCTTCAAATATATTAGAAGCATTCTGACTGATTTCCGTAGATTAAAGGTTACACATGATGAGACAAATCCAACAAAAACCCTACTCTTGAAATAATATCCAAGAGAAGCAACAGGTCTTAAACAGGAAAATGCATGCTGATTTCTGAATGCTACTTGACATCAGAAACAATTTTTACCTTTAACATCTCTATGGATTATCTGATTCTCATGGAGATATGAAAGGCCACGTAACAGTTGTTCTGTGTAATTAATAATTACAGATTCCTTGAAGGCTCCATATTTACTTAACAAATGAGCAACTGAGCCTCCTAGAAAATAAAAGTGATACAACTTAATCAACATTTTTATTGGAGATGATTAGAATGCAGCACTGCCTCCCAAAACTGGAGCCCAATACTGGTTATTTCTAATTGACAGGTAGCCTTCCTACCCATCCCCACAAATATATTACAGAGTTCCATAGGCAAAGAGCAAAACACTCAATTAGTTATACTCTTCTCTGTAGAAAGGAGCTGAGTTTTAAAAGCACATCTTTGTGCTTTCCAATTTCATCTTTCCTAAAAGAAAACATATGTATATACATGTGCATTTATATGTGTAAACATTTAAATATACACAAATAGCAGGTACAGTGTACCACATATTGTTGATTATTAGAAAAACAAAACATTTATCCAGACCTCGCACTAGGTTTTTCAAGTAGTAAAAAGTTAGCTTTCTCATATAAATGCATATACATATATATACATATATATATATATATATATATATATATATGTATATGTATATATATATATATATATATATGCAGCCTCCAGTATAGGTTCCTTCTGAGGATCTTGACTTTCTTTTGTTACCATTTAAATATTTATAGAAGTTTAGCACATGAGCTAGGAAAAGCAGCATCTTCGTCTTTCTTTTCTAGAACTGGTATTTAGATTTGTAAAGTTTTTGAAGTTGGACTGTGCTTCTTAACGTACTCTAACATAACCTGGGCTTGAATGAAGTAACCATAACTACTGATATTATCTAATTAATATTATTCCAGAAAAATCACATTTTATAAACATTTTCAAAAGTGAGCCTTAGTTTCAATATAGTATTTTTATGTACCACTGCTTATAACATATACTTTGGCTTGTTGGTTTGTACTCCACTATTATTAAGTGGTTTCAGCCCAAAGTGTGTGTTTAAGTGCAATGCTTCATTTTGTAGAAGAAAAAGATGCACAAAATTCCACACTGGCCATTTTGTAGAGCAGACAACATGATCTCAAAACATTATGTATCATTCAAAATTAATAAAGCTCCATCTTAAGATATATGAACTTTCTTGTCCCCTACTCTACAGAATAACTAGAAGATCTTAAGGTACTGAATTACAACTTAATAGATTTAAGATAAGATTTGAATATGTTCTTCTTGAAGATTATTACACTCAAAGGTCACTAAGATCTCAAATGCCTTTACATGCTCTCTCACACAATTCTTATGAAAATGTCTGGGAATAAAAAAAGTGTCAAGTATTCCAAACGTTCAAGCAAAATTACATTTAATAGTCATTTAATCATGCAGCTATAATGAAAATTATGTAACTTAAAATATATTAGACTCAAGGCTTCCTCCCTACTCTCTTAGATTTGGAAATTCAGGCAACTAGTAGAATTTTTGCTCAAGGTTTCCAATTATATTAGATGTATGACAGACTAAGTGTGGAAAAGTCCAGAATAAAAAAAAGGAAAAAAAAAAAAAAAAAAAAGGAAAGGAAAGAATAACTTCTTACCGCTTAAAAAGTGATAAATGTTCTGTAAGCTAGATATCTAAGCTTATTAACAATAGGAATGAAGATGCTAACAAATTTCTGAATGGAAGTGATACATGGAATATTTTGCAGTGTTAAAAATTGCAGCGTGAAACAACCCAACTCAAGATTCAACTTGTGCTTTCATTTTCTTTAGCACTTGATGCTCTTTACCTGCCATCCATTCAATAAAGAGATTATAGTTGCTCTTCTCACATGTAGCACCCAACATTCGAATAATGTTAGGATGGTTTAGATGACTCATCATCCTTATCTCTTCTCTCAGTGCTTCAACTACCTCTTCTTGCTCAGACGATGTGTTCCGGACATATGTCACCTGTTTCAAAAATACTGTATCTAGATTTACCTTTCATAACTGGCAATCCAAGGCCTATAACCAACCCCTGCTTCTTTACTGTAGTATCAGATGTCGTTTTTACTCTCCAGGCCCTTCAACTGAGAACATATCTCCATGCAAGATGGTCATAAGAATATAAGAATCTATCCTGGGGAAAGGACCATGTGTATTTGGACCTTTTTTTGAAGTCACATCTTCATATCTAAGCATTTAAAAATTAAAATACTTGCTTTTCAAAGCTGTGTGTAAAATCAGAGGAAGCAAGCCATAAAGTGTTTCCCATTTAAAAAATAGTTTTAATATAAAGTCTTCACAAGTAAATGATGGGAAACTGCTTTAATAGCAAATGAGGCATAGCTTGGAATAAAGAGATTTTGGTTTTCATTCTTAGCTGTCACAGATTTGTGACCTGGATAAAAGCAAAAAATGCATTTGAAAAATATATGAAAGTGCTATATAAAAGGCACACTACTTTTTCATTTTAAAGGGAAATGAAGGGAAAAATATTAATATTAATATTGTGCATATAATTTGTATTAGGCAAGTACACATACAACAGGAAGCAGAGGAAATAGGGTAAAATCTATGAAACCTATGAAATCTATGAAAAAAAGCTTTTATACTTGATATTCCAAATAAATATTAAGAAACAAGTAGAAAAAAAAAAAACCCTAGAAAGTGAAGTATTTACCTGCTTTACAGCCATTAATGTCCCTGTTCCTACATCTTGAGCTTGGTAACAGGAAGAAAAAGCTCCAAGGCCTATTTGCTGACCTTTAAGCCATTCGGCATCTTCTCTGTAATGGTGCTTTGCTTTGGTATGTCCAGGCAGAGTTTCTGGTGTCTGGAAATTAAATTCAAATCAATTCCATGTTTACTAGCATGCATCTAAAATTTAAACGTTCTCGAAGGAAAGACTCAGGCCAGGAAGTTTCTCCTCTCCCTTATGCAGATTTGTACTGCATATCATACACACCTCACTTGAGATCACAATACCAGTTTTCTATAACCCACCACTCCCACTTTTATTATTTAAAAGAGAGCCTCCTATAACTTACTAACTCCTATCTTGCCCCCTGCTGCTCTAAATAGTTAAACCAACCTTTCTGTAAACCAAAAACAACCAAAACCTCCCGCAACGCAGTCTCACACTGCCCCCCCGACACACACTCTCTTCTTTCTCTCTATTCTTATCACTTTGACTTTTGTCCACTTACTAGCAAGTAGACTTTTTTTTGACTACCAAAGTATTTCATGAGCTTTCTCTCAAGATGTGCTGGGAAAGCAATCTCCACCTACGGTACACCGTCTACCTCTTCCATCTGGTGTAATTTGGTTTTACATGATTGCCTTCAAAAGTAAATGAGCATTACAACCCAATATCTTTTTTATTCCTGCTTAAAAACATAATTCTCATTTCCTGGGTTTCTTTGCTCAGATATTCTCCAATGCTTTCAGCATTTATTTTTGTATCCTATTTCTGGTTTTGCTTATTTACTTTGACATCTTAAAGACTGGTACAGGATAAAATACCACTCTTCCAAATACTTTCTCTAAACTTTTTAGCAGCAGTCATGGGCTGATTTTGTTAGTACCATGTACTGGCAGTCTCTTTACACGAAAATATTTCTCTTCATACGTACATTCCAACTTCTGGAAGGCACTAAGCCTCTCATTTGTTTAACATTATGACTACAACATCATGGCTTTGTAAATTTAGCGAATCACAATTTAAACATAAATTAAAAACAATAGCTAAAGCTTCCTCCTCTTCAGCTTCCATCTTTTCCTTGCATTTCTGATTATGACTTACATCATCTTTGTATGTATCATCATTTTCTGCCCGCTCAGGAGAAAGCACTGCAACTTCAGACTTGAATGTAACTGTGCCATCACTCGTTGGCATGGAGGCCTCAAGTAGATCCTCAATACTGGAATTGAGTTCAGCATTAACATCCAGTCGACTTTTCTCATCCACCGGTGTGGACACCGTCTCTTCACTCGGTATAACCACACTGCTATTGTTGCTGCTGCCCTCACACTGTGAAATATCATTCAGGTCAAGCGTCATACTGTTTTTTGATGTTTCTCCCTGCTTGTTCACATCACCCAAGGTGGATAGAGATGGCTTTGGCCTGTGTATGTGACTGGATGGCAACGGCCTAGCCTGGGTAAAAACTGGAGAAAGCTTCTCTGTTTCTTTATTCTCAGAACAGTTTCTTGGAAATTGGAGAGAGAGTTTCCGCTGTGTTTGAGAAGGTGAAGGGATTTTGCAGGGAATGAATCCCCAAGGTCTGAGTTTGGAGACATCTGTTACATTGCCAGCTGGTACAAATGGGTTTGAAGGAGACTGAAGCATTGGGAAAAGTGTCTGGGAATGACTGGATGAGGGAGAAGAGTTCAAATACTGGCTGTGGAGCTTTCCTTTTGTTTGAATGGCTGGCTTTGGTTGCTCAGTGGTTACTGATGAAACGGGAAGTCCCACAGCAAGGCCAGCCAGTGTCTCAGAAGTGTCCTCTGGACTGACACATAATTTTTTATCCCCTAAACCTTTCCCACTTTTTCCTGATAACTGGACAGTATTGTTAGGAGTATTGTTTTCTGTAGCTTCTGGAGAGTTATCTGGTACAGGCAGCTGCAGAAAGTCATCGTGTCGAGCCTCTCCAGAATGCATTTCTTCCATGCCTAGCTGGATGGCTTCTGCAATTTCCATTTCATCTGCTATTGCCATTAGACGTCGACGCATCCTTGCATAGTGAGTAGAGCTTGTCACATTCAGCATTTCTAAAAGCTTTACAAAAACATGGGGCACTCTTGCAACCATCCTTGCTGCACTCAAAAATACTCTCCGGGATAGTTTACCAACCATCGAGTGTGAATTGTCAATCGACTGCAAGGCAAAATTCAAGAGAGAGAGAAGCTTCTTATACCTGCAAGTTAAAAAAAAAAAAAAAAAAAAGTCTTATACACATGATAAGCTCCAGTTAACCAGTGCTAAGAAAGCAATCTTGACAAAGTGTACCTCACTGTCAGTTCTGTAATAACAAGGAGACTTACTGTTGTGCTGGTGTTTCAGAATTAACAGGTCAGATGGTATTTTTAAAAAAAGCGTACCTGTTTACGCTGAGAAGTAGGCCCATTTTTGCATAAGAATATACATAACTACTTGTTTTAAGTTAGTTAAAATGGCTTAAACAACAGTTTTTGAAGAGATCACCAAAAACTTTCAACTACAAAGATAAGCCAATGTAAGCAAGTACCTGTCTACTACAGTATCAGCCTGTAAAACATCCCCACAGACAATGTGGGGATAAAATTCACCAGGGAATTCCAACAGCAGTCTGTCTATCAAACAGAGTCTCCCCAGTAGCGCTTGCCAGTTGCTTGATTCAGTTTGGGTTCCAAGAATACAGTTCAGGACATAATCAACTCCACCAATACCGATGGACCCTGTTAAAACAGAACAAGGAGTTTTTATAAATACATTTAAATTTTATCCGATCTAAATTCAATGAAGATCAGAACTGTACCATATAGAAACACAAATGTTCCCAAATTAACGCCCCCCCCCAACCCCACACCCACACACCCACACTCACTGCCTACCAAACTCCAAAAGACACTTTATGCTATTTTGATTTCTGGTAAGTTAGGTCTGTATTAAATATTAGACACTTCATTATATTTGTTTGTACATATATAGTGCTTTATGCACACACACACTAAGAGCTATTATTACCAGATTTAAGTATTTCTCTTCCAACTGCCAGCTCTCCTGCTTGGCCTTTACACATCTCCAGTAGCGTTGAGACCGAGAGTTGACTTGTTCGACTATAAGAAATTAAAACCAACAGTAATTCTTAGCAGGCGCTTCTGAAGAAAATATTCTACTCATTACACTTCAATAATCATTAGCAATAGCTTGGAACTGCTTGGAAATTGGTTTCACATCACTTTACCAATAGACTTACATAATCCTGTAAGCTACAGATCTTTATGATATTTTTTACAGGATACTTGCAGAACCTTAAGTGATTAAGGTTCTGAACCATTAATAAGAAAATAAATGAAAAACAAATAGAAATCCATTCCTGATGGTTCTTTCACCACAACCGCATTTGCCAATTTTTTTGAGACTTCCAGGGAATAATCTACTAACAGAAATTCAATTACTTGTTAAGACCTCATCCTCTTGCTCAACTCCTGGAATTCCACATCACTCAAGATATCTAAACCTGCTTATTCCTTCAATTTTAGTTATTCTATCACTAGACAGGAAAAAAATGCATGCCTGGCAGTAGTTTCAAAATCAGTGATTCTAACCAATGATGCTTCGGCACTAAACTGAAAGAGACAAAATCCAGCTGAAACACTGCTG